AATATGTAATGAAATCTATTGGGGACTTTTCCCGAATAAGTATCAATATTTTAAAACATGGTACTACCTTTAAAGGCTATTATCTTCATGCTTACATTTAAAGAATCCCGTTCTCAATACAGAACCAAAAAAAAAATTAATCCGACATCTATCTATCTCTTGTAAACTATGCCTCCATTATATGATTCTCTGGCTTGACATGTAGTTGGCGTTAATAAGTCAGTCTTGACCTGACTGTAGTTTTTTCGAATTTAAAATTTAATCCGACATCTATCTACCTCTTGTAAACTATGCCTCCATTAAATGATTCTCTGACTTGACATGTTGGTGGCGTTTGAAAAATAAGTCAGTCTTGACCTGGCTGTATTTTTTTCGATAGATATTTGAGACTTTGAATATTGTACTAGAATGTGCCGCTGGTCTAGATGTTGAGGGTCATTCATGGAGGAGTTCGATACAGAACAAAAAAAATTAATCCGACATCTATCTATCTGTTATAAACTAAGCCTCCAGTAAATGATTCTCAGGCTTGACATGTAGGTGGCGTTTAAAAAATAAGTCAGTCTTGACCTGGCTGTAATTTTTTTTTTTGATAATTTATTTTAGTTCTGTCATTTATAGAACAGAATTTCCTGTCTTCCTCTATTTGGGGACTTTTCCTGAATAAGTATCAATATTTCAATATTTTTTAAAGACATGGTACTACCTTTAAAGGCTATTATCTTCATGCTTACGTTGAAAGAATCCCGTTCTCAATACAGAACCAAAAACAAATTGATCCGACATCTATCTATCTCTTATAAACTATGCCTCCATTAAATGATTCTCTGGCTTGACATATAGGTGGCGTTTGAAAAAATAAGTCTGTCTTGACCTGGCTGTAATTTTTTCGATAGATATTTGAGTCTTTGAATATTGTACTAGAAGGTGCCGCTGATCTAGATGTTGAGGGTGATTTATGGAGGAGTTCAATACACAACACAAAAATAATTTATTCCGACATCTATCTCTTGTAAACTAAGCCTTCACTAAATGATTATCTGGCTTGACATGTAGATGGCGTTTAAAAAATAAGTCAGTCTTGACCTGACTGTAGTTTTTTCGAATTTAAAATTTAATCCGACATCTATATATCTCTTGTAAACTAAGCCTCCATTAAATGATTATCTGGCTTGACATGTAGATGGCGTTTAAAAAATAAGTCAATCTTGACCTGGTTGTATTTTTTTCGATAGATATTTGAGTCTTTGAATATTGTACTAGAAGGTGCCACTGATCTAGATGTTGAGGGTGATTCATGAAGGCGTTTTGGGACAGGAAGTATTTTTTTATGGGAATATATTTATCCTGGCTTTTTTCTCTTAAAACTAAGACCATCGATATATTGTCATATAGATGGCGCTGACTGATAACTGAGAATGATATGACTTCTGGTCGAGTCCGGGGGAATGTCATTTGTTTCTAGGCAAAAAATCTGCTTTTGAAAATTTGAATTATTTCAAAAATTGACCTAAAGATGGCGCTGGTATAAGTAATGGGGCCGATTCATAAATAAAAATAAGCGATGCTATATTTTTATATATAAATGAGTAATAAGTATGTTCAGATTTAGTTTTTAATGTAGGCATATGGAAAAGTCGATAATTTGCATATTGACATGTAGAGGGCGCTAATTGGGAATAGTTTTTAAATAGAAAAAAAGTTGCTGATAGACTGTGATCTTTTTTTCCAAAGGCACTTTTCCTTTTAATATAGAAAACAATCAGTCCTCTTGATTTATTACTGACATTTTTCCTTGGGTGTCCTTTCGCATTACAACCTCATTTAAGCATTGTTTCCTTTTTATTTTTTTTTTGTGTGTTTTCCATCTCCCAAAAACTTTTCCATCAACTAATTAAAAATGTTGGTGCCTGCCATAGAGCGTTAGCAGTAGCAGCAGCAGCATTTTTGTAAAATCCCAGTTGTCTACGAATCTAGTTTTCTGGGCGCCTATTCCTTACTCATTAACTAGCTAGCTGGCATTTTTCGGAAGAGATAAATAAAACAATAATAACCACAACTATTTTTAATTAATTACTTGGCAGAGAGTTTTAATTGCCAAGGATTTTTATTGGCCTCTTGGTGGTGGGGGAGGAGGAGGGGAATTATTTTTCCTTAAAATGAAATGTCGATGCTTGGATGTCCTGGTATACATATATGTTCTGGTGTGTGTGTGTCAAATTCCTGGTGCTAAAATTTAATTACATATTTTGTGTGTGTGTGAGTGTGTTTAATTACCAAATCATTTCTAAAGGAATCTGTATGTCTGTGGTTTCACACTGTCCTTTTTCCTTCTCCAATTTGTTATGAGCTCCTATTCCTTGCTCATTAACTAAAGTCTATGTTTGTTGAAATGTCATATTTATATTGGATTTCATTCTCCATTGCCGGGGGGGAGGGGGGGGGGTTTTCTTGGGAAAGCTCATTAACTCATTTCATTTGTAATTATTGTTTTAGTCAACCCTCTCCTCCACCACTACTAGTTTGCCATGTGGGTGTCCTGTTTTCTGGCAAAGCATTGCTATGGCTTTCTTTTTGGATGCTGGAAAATGTTTCTGTATCCCGTTTTTCCTGTCATTGCTAATTTGTGGTTGAGATGAATGGAGACCGTTCTATTGGTATTTCGCTTTTCAGCCACTTCACGGCGAATCGGCATTTCGTTAATTATTATGCCCAAAAAAGGACATTCGATTTACTTGCTCTCTTTTATGAGAGCCTTTTGAATCTATGGCGAAAAAATTGCCAAAAATGTAAAGTGAAATTTTTAACATTAGGGTCTAATGGATTTGACTTCAATGGCCCACCAACTTGAAACCAATGCCTATAATTCTCGTTTTATTTTTTTTTTTTCCAAATAAATATTTTCATAAATTTTTAATTGCGATTTTTTTTTTGAGAAGTTATAAATAAATTTTACCAGAAAATTCCATGTTGACATTTTTTTTTGTATCAAAAAACCTCACTTAATCACTTTCTCCTTTATAACGCCAAGGTGCACATTATTTTGTCATAATGCCGTTGAGGTTAGGGGTCTCATTATCTTGTTTTATTAATTTCTTTATTTATTTTTGTTAACAGTTTTTTGTTCTCATTTCAATGGTTGTTTATGAAAGTACTTGAATTTTGATTCGTTGCTTGATTAATTTTTTTGTTATTTATTTGTTTTTGCAAAATGAGTAGAGACAATGATGCAATAAATGTCTTGAACACGTGCCTTTTGGGGGATGATTTAATGGAGACAGGGATAAATTGAAACAATTTCAACGGGGACTGTTTTTAATTCGCCGGATATCAGATGCGATTTTTTCAAAAAAAAAAAAAAATTCGGGAACCAATTTTTTTCCATAGAAAAAAATTCTTCGGGGACCCCAGGTCCCAATTTTTTTCCATAGAAAAAAATCGCAGGGACCCCAGGTCCCAATTTTTTTCCATAGAAAAAAATCGCAGGGACCCCAGGTCCCAATTTTTTTCCATAGAAAAAAATCGCAGGGACCCCAGGTCCCAATTTTTTTCCATAGAAAAAAATCGCAGGGACCCCAGGCCCCAATTTTTTTCCATAGAAAAAAATTTGACGGGACCCTGGGTCCAATTTTTTTCCATAGAAAAAAATTCGTCGGCGACGCACAGGTCCCAATTTTTTTCCATAGAAAAAAATTTCGGGGACCCCAGGTCCCAATTTTTTTACATAGAAAAAAATTCGCCGGGACCCTGGGTCCAATTTTTTCTATAGAAAAAAATTCGCCGGGACCCTAGGTCCAATTTTTTTCCATATAAACAAATTCGTCGGGGACCCTAGGTCCAATTTTTCTTGCATAGAAAAAATTCGTCGGGACCCCAGGTCCCAATTTTTTTTGCATAGAAAAAAATTCGTCGGGACCCCAGGTCCCAATTTTTTTTGCATAGAAAAAAATTCGTCGGGGACCCCAGGTCCCAATTTTTTTTTTCATAGAAAAAAAATTCGTCGGGGACCCCAGGTCCCAATTTTTTTTTCCATAGAAAAAAATTTCGTCCGGGACCATAGGTCCCAATTTTTTTCCATAGGAACCCCAGGTCCCATTTTTTCCATAGCAAAAAATTCGAGGGTACCCAGGTTGAGATTTTATTTCTTCCACAGAAAATAATTCGCTGGATAAAAATTTCACTTGCCCTTTGATTTTTTTCGAACCACTGTTCCAATTCTTTTTTTTCATACACGTGCTAAATCTAATTCACATGTTAATGAACACACAACAACAACAAAAACATTTACATGGTCGATTACAAAAACAACACGCACATATTTTTTTGAAATATGTTTCTGTGTCACAAGACCACGGAAACACATGTTGTGGCCGAGACGACCTTTAGTTTTAATGGAAATGAAAAATGTCAACAGACGATCTGAACTGATCGCCTGTTACACTTGTTCCACACATAGATACACACAGATGGTGTGGGTTTTGGAATATAACATGGGGTGGGGCAGACGATCATAATTTCTGTGACAATTTTTAAAAACTAAATTTAAAGATTTGAACAGAAAACTGCACTTATAATAAACTGTCGGATATAAGATAACCAAAATCTGGCCCTCTTTAACCTCTTGTGGCCTGGTTTGCATGTATTTCTTTATACAAACTTCGTTTGCTTTGTCTCAATATTCGTTGAGTGGCTTTTTCGAAGGCAGCAATAATTTTCAAGGCCCTTTTGGTTGGGTGTTTCAATTTTGTACTTGTTTTTTTTTTTGTTGGTTATGTTTTATTATACCTTCCGATAACCAGCCAGCCATTTGTGGTTTTGAAAATTTTGAATAGTAGCAATTTTTCGAAAATCTGGCAAACGTCTACCAAATTCATGGTGGCCTGATGACGGTTAGATCATTTTTCAATCGGAAACTCCAAAATAATCCTAGAACTAAGAATATTTTTTCAAATTTCTAAATTTTATACTAATCTCAAAATTTTTCCTCCCTTTTCTTACAGAACCTTTAGCAATGGCGCTGCAGACATCCAGCCAGAACGTCGTCAACGTCTCAATACGGCCCCTGGTATGCGTGCCAGCAATTCGGGCAATTCAGCAGCATCCATGACCTTTGGCGTAGTTGGTGGTGGCAAGAGGCCATACAACACAATTTTGGGTTCAACAATATCGCACATTACCGATGACAGCAGCACGGAAAGTTTGACACCCGGCTCATTTAGTAATCGTGGCAGTATAACCAAATCGGTGCAAATCAATGATGCTAAGGATTTGCGTTTAATGGGCTCGCAGGCCCACAAACAGCATCAGTACAAAGATGAGAGAGTAGTTTTAGTTTCGCGTAAAGTACCGTTTTTCATATTTTCGGCATTGCCCTACTACAAGGGTAAGAATGGAAGGTAAGGTTCCAAATCAAAATCAAAGAAAAAAGCTTTTAATTCAATTCTCTTACCCCATACAGGGCTGAATTGCGCAAGGAGGGCAGACGCCGCAACACCTCGGCCTCCCGGCCATTGTCGGCCATCAATGATGCCCCCTTTGATCCCTTCGATTTGCTGGGCATTGAGCGGGGTGAAAGTGGCCAGGTATGTTTTGAAAAAAATACACATTTCAATATTTTGTATTAATTTATAGTTTTTTTTATCTATTTCAGGACATTTCCTATGGCCATCTCTTGATACCCTCCCGTCAATTCTCCAAGGAGGGCAAAAAACATGGTGCCGGCACTGTATCATTGCTTGAGGGTCAAATGGAAATCACCGGCACGGCTGCATTGAAAAATCATGGCATTGCTAGGTAAATTTTAGTTGTCCTCTCCATCGATGCATTGTAAATCCCTTTTTCGGGGGGATAGTATTAAGATTTGTAAAAAACAATTCCTCATATTCATCAATATTTGTAAGGACCATTTTGAGGGGTATTTTGGAGTTTTCATTTGTCATTTTTAAAACTTAAGCGGATCATAAAAATAATATAAATTCCCCAATATTATTTTGTTGCATGGAAATGCATTTTCTAATGTTATCTCCAAGATTTTGTACAAATAGTTCATTATCATTCAGTCCATATCAATGTTGCCCTGGCAAAAATTAAATTTGTGAGGAATGGCCTTATAATCGGCTGGCCATTTCTTTTCATACCCTTCACTGTGGAAATTCTGTAAATGTTGAATATTTATAAAATCAGGCCTATATTGAAATTGTTTCCCAAGAATTTAATTTTCATTACCCAAAATATTTCTGGTCTGTTTCTCTAGGGGTTTCGATAGGTTTTTATCGTTTTAAATTAAAAAGAAATTAGTTTTGAGGTTCTATAAATGTCTGTTTGTGACTTTTACTCGAATGATGACTGGTATCCATGGTAGCTACCATACCGGTATTGAAAGGGCTATATCGGTCCACGATATCGAATGGCCCCCATATAACCGACCAATATTCGGTATTTTGATGATTTTAGGCACTTTTTTCAATGGAATAGTAATCACAATTATTCTCTTAAAAATAATTGTCTATATAAGTCCACAATATCGTATATCCCTCCATATTACTGTACCTCTCGATATTAGGTTGTTTGATGATTTTAGCAACATTTTTAAATGGAATTGTCTGAAATTTTACACAAGGAGTTCTCTGTGAGTTCATTATTCCCTGAACGAGAATTGTTTATATAGGTCCACGATATCGTATATCCCCCATGCAATGGTGCCTCCGATGTTGGGTATTTTGTTGATTTTAGCCACATTTTTCAATGGAATTGGCTTAAAATCCACACAAGGAGCTCCTTCTGAGTACTTTACCCCCTGAAAGAGAATTGTCTACATAGGTCCACGATATCGTATATCCCCCATATAACTGTACCTCCCGAAATTCGGCATTTTGATGATTTAAATCACAGTTTTCAATGACATTCTCTGAAATTCTAGGGTCTACGTTTTAGTATAGCACTCCTATAACGCTACCCCAAGATATTTGGTATTTCCAAGATTTTTGCGACATTATTCACCGTCAAATTTCGTATAGCCCCCATATACAGGTTTTTTGAGAGGCATTTTTCGACGGATTTTTATTTTTAAAAATTTTCAAGTTCATTTCGAATGGTGGAAGGTATAAAAAGTTGGTCTCGGCCGAACTTACCTGCTTTTTTACTTGTTGTATATATGTATATATAATTCTGTTAGATAATCTGAGTGTAACATTATAATTGACTTCATTCCAACCCGAAATCTTTTAGGATCATTTTACTGTAATATTTTCTTACCGCTAAAAAGACAACATGTACTAACAATTCTGAGCCTTCAGAGTTTACTATCGCCCTTCTCCCATAGATCGTCATGGATAATCATGTATTGTATGCACCTATGGTAGGTAAAAACTCCCATAACAATTGTGATTTTGACTTTTCTAAGTAGCCCTCATCCTCTGTCAGAATAGTAGGAAGGAAGGATTTCTTGGAAGTAGTATTTTGTGTATAAAGTCTATCACCAAGCCAAACATCAATATACGTTGTGAAGGACACATCACTGTCCTATACGACCAGAAGGTCTTCTCGTAGAAGTCTAGAAGATTTTATTTGAAGGCAGATATGTCTTATCTCTTCTTCATAAAAGGGTCTTCTAATAAAAACAGGATAATATTTGTGGCCTGATAATTCAGACCCCTTCAGCCAGTCATAGAATACCAGAAGTTTTTTATAGAAGGCAAAAAGGTCTTCTCTCCTTTTTTCCAAAAGATCTTCCCTCCTTTTTTCCAAAAGGTCTTCGCTCCTTTTTTTCCAAAAGCTCTTCTAATACAGCCAGCTTATTATTTAGGTTTGGAGAACTCGGTCTTTTTCCTTTACTTCTTTGCATTAATATAATCAATAGAGTCAGGTCCCTGATCGAAGGTTTATTTAACATTCCTTTTCCATCATAATTGACGAACAAAAGTACCATTCCTAGGCACTTGGGTTCTCCAGTGAAGATAAACTAAGCATGCCAAAAATTGGATTTATAATACCACAACTTAATTATTTCTGGGGTCAAATTCTCGCACTTGAATATTTCGATCGAAATTAATATAAATTTGTATATTTTGCCTTGGTTTAATTCAAAATTTTCGTGGAATAGGTCAAATATTGAATGGGTTATAAATCTGACTAGGCTAACTAATCCTGAAAATGGGTGTTAATGCAAAAAAAAAAAAAAACTATATTATAAACATGCTTTTAGAGTTGGAACTTTGTTCTTCATTTTCATCAATTTGTGCGATTCAGAATTTTGGAATTTAGCCCCGTATCTACTCCCAACTAATTTTTTTGAAGTGAAACTACAGGGTCCTATTCTTGGGCATAAAATATATAATTTCGATATAAAGAAGACCAAAGGATGTTCCTATCCTTCAACAAAAATTATTTTTTTTGTAAGTTTTAATGAATGTCAGACATTCATTCATTCATTGAACCTGTAACCTTGTTCTTCACCTCCAATCAACAAGATATTTTTAGCCCAAACAACTTCATATCTTCTTCATCTGTCTAGAAGAGATATAAAATCTACAAAAACAACAACAACAACAAATTTCAATAACAACAGTAACAACGAAATAAATGTTATTATTATTGTTACCACTCATGACAAGCCCTCTTTTACTTGAGATTGGGTGTCGAATTCTTTGTTGAGTTTTTTTTTTTGTTTTGCATTTTTTATAATTATTTTACAATTGCTGCTGTTGTTGTTTGTTTGTTTTTCCTTTAAATAAACAAAAAATGCGTTGTTGATTTAATCGTGCCTTACGTTTATTTCTGCTATTCAAATTCCGCACAATTAACAAAACAATTTGGGAGTACTACAATTTCATTGTAGATGGAATTTTTTTAATTTAATTTTCTTTTTGTTTTTATTTTGTTTTACAATAAACAAACTATGAGGGAAAAGTGGAAAAAGTGTTGAGTTGTAGGGGGAAGGTGAAGCAGGTATACATTTTACATGTGGCCAAAAATGGGTTTTAGTTGATTTTTTGTGGCCTTTTTGAAAACCTAGGCAAAAAATAAAAAAAAGAATTTTTCCTTCAAAATTCTGATGCAATATTAGAATACATTTTTTAATTGAGGGCACAGTTAAGATTCCCTTATTGAAGCCCTTATGATCCTCATTTTTTATGGAATAGAAATATGTTGGATATTTCATATCAAATATATTTCATGATATTATTTTTTGGGATATTAATATGTCTTGGTTAAAAAAACCTTTATTGAAGGACCTTCGAGATCCTTTTAGGTTCCTGGTTCCTGAAAGTCTAAACATTCTCTTTCCATTTTTTTGTAAATTCTTTCCCATTCTCACTTTCATATCGTCTCCCTTTTTGTAAACATCGTTTCATGGCATTACCCAAATTTTTTCATCAACCTTTTCCCAACATTTTCTATTTTTCCAGGACTAAATTAATGACACGACATGAAGGAAAATGGTAATCGCAAATTCCATTTCTTTCTCATATTCATTGTTATTGTTTATTTGGTTTTACGTTTTATAACTATTGTTGTCAATGTAAACTGTGCGTTAATTAAACATTTTTAAACCTGTGCGTGTGTGTGTGCGTAGAAATAATTTGTTACGAAAAACACCTTTTATTGGACAAGCTTAGATTTTGAAAATTCTGACTGCTTCACAATTTCGAGCGACAATTCAATAAAAAAAATCTAAAAAAACTCCTGCGTTCGACATGGTGAACCAGTCGTTTTATATTTTGCCATTACAAAACAGCAATTTGAATTCCCAAAGTGTATATGTACGTGTGCGTGTGTTTGTTTTACATATTGTGTGTGTGTGTGTGTGTTTTGTAGTAGTTAGTTTAGTTCCCCATTTTCCTTGGTATAATACTTCATTCGAAACCAGAAAAAAAATCCAATAAAATTTGGCATCATGTAGTTATGTTTTCTTTTAGAACAGCTTCTTAATATTTTTAACGATTTTTATTAGAAATTTATTAAAACATAACATTTTTTCTCTTTTCTAGGTGTTTCACTTATGACAACAATAATCGCAATAATACCGCCAGCCCATCGCCAGATGTGAAAATTGATTTTGATGAATCGTTGGATGGCAGTCGATGCTCACAAGTATGTAAAAATAATTGGATTAATTTTAATTAAGAAACAAAATTCAAACAAAGTTTTCTTGTAGGATTAACGGAAGGTAGGGTTGTAGAAGTCCTAAGACCCATACAGGGACCAAAAATCATGTCTCTCACAGAGGAGGGAAACAGGAAGATATTTTTCTTGGCAAGACCTTATCGAAGAGAACCAAAAGTGTTTGTCATAGAAGACAAGAATGTCTTTTTATTGAAGGCCATTGAGACCTGAAGGTCCTCTCATTGAAACCAGATGGCCTTCTCCTAGAAGACGTGAAGGTCTTCTCATAGACGACCAGAAGGTCTTCTTATGGAAGATCAGAAAGTCTTCTCATAGAAGACCAGAAGGTCTTCTCATAGAAAACCAGAAGGTCTTCTCATAGAAAACCAGAAGGTCTTCTTGTAGAAAACCAGTAGGTCTTCTCATAGAAGGCCAGAAGGTCTTCTCATAGAAGGCCAGAAGGTCTTCTTATAGAAGATCAGAAGGCCTTCTTATAGAAGACCAGAAGGTCTTCTTATAGAGGACCAGAACGTCTTCTGATAGAAGACCAGAAACTCTTCTCATAGAAGACGTGAAGATCTTCTGATAGAAGACTAGAAGGTCTTCTGTAGTATTCTGATAGCAGGCCAGAAGGTCTTCTGATAGAGGAATAGTATGTCTTCTGATAGAAGACCAGAAGGTCTTCTTATAGAAGACAAGAAGGTCTGCTGATAAAACACCAGAAAGTCTACTGATAGAAGACCAGAAGGTCTCCTTCTCATAGAAGACCAGGAGGCCTTCTTCTCATCGAAAACCAGAAAGTCTTTTTCTCATAGAAGACTGGAAGGTCTTTTTCCCATAGAAGACTAGAAGGCCTTCTTCTCATAGAAGACCAGAAAGTCTTTTTCTCATAAAAGATTAGAAGGTCTTCTTCTCATAGAAGACCTGAAGGTCTTCTTCCCATAGAAGACCAGAAGGTCTTCTTCCCATAGAAGACCAGAAGGTCTTGTTCTCATAGAAGATCGAAAGGTCTTTTCATAGAAGACCGAAAGGTCTCCTCATAGAAGACCGAAAGGACTTCTCATAGAAGACCGAAAGGTCTTCTTATAGAAGACCAAAAGGTCTTCTCATAGAAGGCCAGAAGATCTTCTCATAAAGACCAAAATGTCTTCTCATAAAGACCAAAAGGTCCTCTCATAGAAGACCAAATGTCTTCTCATAGAAGACCAAAAGGTCTTCTCAAAGAAGACCAAAAGGTCTTCTCATAGAAGACCAAACGGTCTTCTCATGGAAGACCAGAAGGTCTTCTTCTCATAGAATACCAAAAGTCTTTTTCTCATAGAAGACCAAAGATCTTCTTTTCATCTGAAGACCAGAAAGTCTTCTTCTCATAGAAGACGTGAAGGTCTTCTTCTTGTCATAGAAGACCAGAAGGTCTTCTTCTTGTCATAGAAGACCAGAAGGTCTTTCTTGTCATAAAAGACTAGAAGGTCTTCTTCTTGTCACATAAGACCAGAAGGCCTTCTTCTCATAGAAGACCAGAAAGTCTTTTACTCATAAAAGATTAGAAGGTCTTCTTCTCATAGAAGACCACAAGGAAGACCAGAGGGTCTTCTTCGTATAGAAGACCAAAAGGTCTTCTTGCCGTAGAAGTCCAGAAGGCCCTCTTCCCCTAGAAGACTTCTAATAGAAGACCAGAAGGTCTTCTTCCCATAGAAGACCAGAATGTCTTCTTCCCATAGAAGACCAGAATGTCTTCTTCCCATAGAAGACCTAAAGGACTTCTCATAGAAGACCGAAAGGACTTCTCATAGAAGACCGAACGGACTTCTCATAGAAGACCGAACGGACTTCTCATAGAAGACCGAAAGGACTTCTCATAGAAGACCGAAAGGACTTCTCATAGAAGACCGAAAGGTCTGCTCATAGAAGACCAAAAGGTCTTCTCATAGAAGACCACAAGGTCTTCTCATGGAAGACCACAAGGTCTTCTCATGGAAGACCACCAGAATGTTTTCTCATAGAAGACCAAAACGTCATCTCTTGGAGTCCTTCGAAAAACCCTTCTCATCCTCTTATAATGAGTAGCTCTCCTATTGTCTTGAAATTTTCTCATAGAGGTCCTGAAGATTGTATTTTATCTTTTCTCATAGTAACCCTCAAAAATTTCTTCTGAAAAGCTATTTGAACTTTTCTTGGAACAGTTTAGGTATTCTTCTAGGGGTTCTCAAATCCAATATTCTCGAATTTAGTAATAATTTTTCTCGCTCTTTCTTTTCCAGCTCCAACAATATTCGGCCAATATTTTAGATGATCCCGAACTGATTGCCGGCAAGCATCGTACTCTGTTAACCTTTACCTCGTACATGACATCGGTGATTGACTATGTGCGACCATCGGATTTGAAAAAGGAGCTCAACGATAAATTCCGTGAGAAATTCCCACACATACAATTGACCCTGAGCAAATTGAGGAGGTAAGGGGTCTCAAGGATTTTTTATTTTTTATTGTTGTTGAAAATGAAAATTTTCCTTTTTTCAGCATTAAACGTGAAATGCGTCGCATCAACAAATTGGACAGTCGCATCGATTTGGTAACCATATCGCAGGCCTATGTCTATTTTGAGAAATTAATTTTGGCCAATTTAATCAATAAATCCAATCGGAAATTGTGTGCCGGAGCCTGTCTCTTGTTGAGTGCCAAGATGAACGATGTCAAGGGGGATTTGTTGAAGAGTTTAATTGAGGTGGGTATTGAAAAAAATTTGATGATTGGAAGGTATTTTATTTAAATTTGTTTTTATTTGTTTGTTTCAGAAAACCGAAAACGTTTTCCGTTTGAATCGCAAAGAATTGATTTCCTCGGAATTTGCCGTCCTTGTTGCTCTGGAATTTAGTCTGCATGTACCCATGCACGAGATCTTACCTCATTATCAGCGTTTACTCTACGAATCCTAGAATTGGCCTAAACGCTTTGCCGACAAGCGTTTCCTAACGGCAGCTGCAAATACATCGCGCCATTATTTTCGTCGTTGTGCCAGTAGCAAGAAATAGAGTTGGATTTTTGTTTATAACAAATGTCAAGGATTTTCTTATAAGAATGTAGTTTTTATTTCTTTTTTATATTAGCAACAACGATTATCAAGCGAGGTGTAGGTGTATTTTTTTTTTATAAAAAAGTAACAAAATCTTAACTAGAAGTTAACGCATTCGTATGGGTATTTTGATATGAAGAAAAATAATGATTTTCTAAGGAATTTTTTTATATAAATATAAAGACAAACCACAATGAAAATGAGGTGTGAATGTAAAAACATATTTAAATTTTTTGGGTACCGAAAACAAAACAAAAACAAAAAATATTTTGAGAAAAAATAAATAAGCAAAAATAAATATAATAAAATCCAAGTAAATTTATATGAAATATTCTTTTTGAAAATATTAAGATACTAAAAGTATAAAATCGAAGAAAAATTTATGAAAAACATATAAGAAAAATATTTCAAAAGAACGGAGCTCATATATAAATAAAACCAGGAAAATAATATAAGTAAAGTAAAAAATAAACCAAAATAATAAATAAAATAAAATAACACATTTCAAATGAACGGATATTAGAAATGCCAAGATAAAAAATAAAAGCTCATATATATATATAAATAAACACTATAAAAATAATATGATTAAAGTAAAAAATAACAGAAAAAAAGCAGTGCAAGATTTTTCAAAAATATAAATAGAAACCATAAAAATAATATAATTGAAGTAAAAATAAAAATTATAGAAAAACCTTTACAAGATTTTTCAAAAAAAAAAAAAAAAAATCTGAAAAATGGAATTAAAAAAAACCAACAAGAAAAATCTTTTAAAACCAATATCGAAAGCAAAAAAAGAATACTTCATTTATTAATAAAAATATTGGAAAAATTAAATAAAAAAAATTATAATTAAAAAAATAAATACAAATATATTTATAAAATATTTGAAAAAAAATATTCCAAAAAAAATGCAAAAAATTTAAAAATACTTTTTTTTAAATAATGTAAATACAGGGTGAGATAAAAAAACAAAGTCAAACACCATAATTTTTACATTCTTTTTTTTCAATTTTATTGAATCAGAAAAAAGATTTATTCACATTTAAATGCTGGATCGCTCTAACGATAGCCACCAATCATTTTCAAGCCAAATATAAAGAATTCACACTATCACGCTTGAACTCCACCACGAATAAATTTTTTCTGGAAAACTCTCATCAAAATGCTTTTGTACCCTTGTAAACAATATAATGAGCTATTACTAGAATAATTGTAACAGCTGTCGGACGAATGCCTTAGAAATGGCAGCAGCCTGAAGTTGGTTGCAGTTTTTTCATCTCACCCTGTATCTTCTTTATTGGAAAAATACGAAAGAAAATATATGCCAGTCGCTTATCAACCTTTGTTGACACTAGACTTTTTCGCGCTGGTCGCTTTTTTCTTTACAAACAAACACAACAACAACAAATCAACACAAAATCAAAACACAAACAAACCTCCATTTTTTTTCTTTTATCTTGGTTAAAAACTATTTTTGCGAAATTTTTGCCAAGTTTTTTTATTTAAACAATTATGGAGGGAGTCGGAGACCCCCCTCCTCCACCTGTTCCCCCGCCACCTATTGGGGATACCAATAAAAGAAGAGCCAAAAACATTGAAAACGATAATAAAAGTTTTAAAAACAATAATGGCCAACCAATAAAAAACACCAACACCAATAAAATAATTTCATCCCAGACCACGGACAAAATGGACACCGAATACAATTACAATTCGCTAAATGATGGAAATGTACTGTATACACCAAACCATCCAGGGCCATTTTATGTCATAGTGTCGTCAGAAACGCCAATCAGCTCTAGGAGAAAAAACTGCGAACTCCATTTGTATATACGTCTAAAGCAAATCAATCTCACTAACTATGCTTGCAAGTGTGTGGGATATAACACTTTTAGAATGACGTTCAACAATTTTGAATCTGCCAACTTATTTGCCACAAATCCCAATTTAAAAACTGTTGGATTAAAGGCATACATCCCAGAGAGATTTGTTCAACGTTTTTATATTATCAAAAATGTACCTACGTGCCTTTCTGCAAATATTATAAAGGAAGAAATTATGCAAAACAATGAATGTATGGAAGTAGTCTCAATTTATCGCTTTACTAGGAAAAATGATTCTGGTTTAATCGTACCCACAGAAACTATAAAGATTGGTATTATTTTTGATGGAATTCCTACGAAAATATATATGTGTGGAACAAAAATAACACCGGACTTGTATGTACCACCTGTTCGGCTGTGTTTAAACTGCGGCCGTTTAGGCCATATTGCTCTTCGTTGCAGGTCGACGAAGAAGTGTCTAAGCTGTGGAAAAGAAATTCTATGTGCTACAAATTGCAGTAAGGAAAATAGATGTTTAGATTGTCGTTCTACAACAACCTGTAAAGAACTATGCATGTCTCCAAGATGCATACTTTGCAACAAAATAGATCATCTTGCAACAGATTCCAAAAATTGTTTGAAGTGGAAGTCTGAAAGAAATATTAGCAGCATTATGGCCCTAACAAACCTATCTAGAAGGGAGATTCTCCAAAATTACCCAGAAACAAGAAATCGTTTCCAAATTCTTTCTGAACGTGATTTTAATAATGAGTTCCCGCCTCTCTTAACAAACAGGACTCCAAAAATTAATATACATGATGCAATTAACAAAAAAATTACAAGTATTAAATATAGCAAAGTTGCGGCTCCAATAACGAAAAATCAACATGCCATTGCAAGCCCAATTCATGTAAATCCAACCAAAGCAGTTTTTGATCATCAAAATTTTTCTAAAGTTACTGAAATAGAAAGAGCATTAGCATCATTTTCAAGGCAAATGTCCACAATACTTACGTCTCTTAACTGCACAGAAGGTCTTGATGTTTTAAAGAAATTTCAACAAATAGTCATTCCAGCATCAGCAAACAACCAAAGCCCATATACATCAGAAGCCAATGAAGAAAGCCAATTAGTAACATCCTGAAAAAGATAAAGTGTGATCAATCTGAAATAACTGCAAATAAATAATAATAATTTTTTTTTCAATTATCCATGAACATCTTACAATACAATATACAAAGTCTTAAAAAAAACAAAAACTCTCTGGACTTCCATTTAAGAAAACTGAACATCGATATATGCTTCCTGAGTGAAATTTTCAATATAGATGAAAAACAAAATTCAACAACTTTTCAAAATTATAATATAGTTTCAAAAAAGAGAAAAGATAATTATGGTGGCGTCGCGATAGTTTTAAAGAAAAATATTCAGTTTAAAAGAATCTCTTTTCAATCAACACTTGACATACTAATTTGTCAAACCACTAATTTAAACAATAATCTCACTTTAGTTGCTGTCTATTTTCCACATTCCGTAAAAAGCATAACCATTAAAAATGAACTTGAAAAAATAACATCCTTCCTCAACTCCAATCCAAATACATTTATCTGTGGCGATTTTAATGCTAGACATTCGGCCTTTGGTGATGTTTTTGATTCGCAACGTGGAAAAATGCTTAAAGAATTTTTTGACTATTCAAACTTTCGATGTTTAAATGATGGAAGTTACACTTTTAAAAAACGAATCAATGACAATACGGGATCTGTTTTAGATCTATCATTTACCAACTCAACTCTGTCACTATCCTGGAAAGTTCAAAAAACAATAATTGGAGGAAGTCACCATCTCCCAATAATTCTGAAATTGAGCGATACTATTTGCAACGGCAAAAAGTTCTTAGCGAAAAAAAAGCTTATAAGAAATCTTGCAATATTAAAATTAAATCCGGACTTCGAGGAAATCAACTTCGCCATGCAAGCTGAAATCAAAAAAGCTACGTATGTTATTGATAACAAAAGAAATCCAAAACCTTGGTGGGACCCTTTTGTCGAAAAACAATTCAGATTGCAAGTAGCCGCGCAAAAGAAATATGATTTGCATAGCAATGACACTAATGCTCTTAATCTTTTCCAAGCCATTAAAAATTTTAAAAACGCCACAAAATATGCAAAACGACAATCTTTTAAATCAAAAATTACAACTTTAAATATGGAGCCTAACTCAAAATCATTATTTCGTCTGGTAAAAGGATGTAAGAACAGTTTGTCATGCAATAACGGTGGGAAATGGTCCGAAAATAACAACAAAATATTTTTAATACACCTAAGGGATCAAGTCTTGAACAACAGCCATATTACCTTCCCTCCAAACACGCAAAGAACACCCGTCGAACTCACAATGGAAGAATTCTCATCTGTCTTAAACAGAAAGAAAAAACCTTCAGCAGCAGGATTAGATGGCATAACATATGAGATGATAAATAACTTATCAGAATCATCTAAATATAATCTTTTTCAAGCAATGAATACAGCTTGGAAAAAATGTGAACTAAGAGAAAATTGGCGAAAAATCAAAATTGTTCCAATCCCAAAGAAAGGAAAAGATCTGGAAATATTCACAAATTTTCGACCAATATCATTAATATCAGTTTTTCTCAAAATTATAAATCTTATGATCAAAGAAAGATTACAGTCATTTCTTCAGGAACAAGATATTCTTCCGACCAACACATACGCATACAGGAAAAACTTCTCTTCATCCATGTGTATCAATCATTTACTATACACAATAAATTATCATAAGGAAAAAGGAGAAAAAGTAATTCTACTGTCTATAGATATTGAAAAGGCCTATGATTGCGTAAATCTATTAATTCTTTATAAAATTTTGTCCGAGATAAACTGCCCGGAGGATATCAAAGATTGGACAATAAACTTTCTTAAAAAACGCACAATTGTTATGGGCAATGAAATGATAGATATATATAATGGATTACCTCAAGGCAGCTGCTTAAGTCCAATACTTTTTAATATATATACGCTTGGTCTACATGGAATTGCAGATCAAAACACATATTTATTTCAATTTGCGGATGATTTTATTTTACTATCCACTGACAAGGAATTTGAAATGGCAAATGAAAATCTACAACATAAAGCGAATCATTTTTACCATATTTTATCCCGCTTGAATCTTAAATACAACCCTGATAAAACCTTCGTCATGTATGTAGCAAAAGGCCCCCGTAAAATCCCAAATATAAAGTTACAAAATACAAACATAAACTCTGTTGAAAAAATAAAATTTCTGGGAAGATATATTAAAAACAGTCTATCGCTAAAGGAACACTATGATGAAGTAATGAATTCCTGTAC